CCCTTCCGTTCCTTGCCCGGTTCAAGCTCTTGAAGACCTGCAATGACGCCGGGAGGTGCTCCCGGCGGTAACTCTCCGACGCTCAAGTCAGTAAGGAATAGAAGAGTATAACTGTATAAGAGAATCCTACATAATTGTAAGTAGGGTTAGGGTTTGTAGGGTGTCTCCCTTACCGTCATACCAGATTACCTATTTATATGTAACTCCCTAGCTTCATATGCACGCCTTACTCCTTGCCCGTCAGATCACCTATCCCTTCTATGATCACCACACTACACGTGTCCCTTAGGGATAAATGTCACACCTGCCCAATTCTCGGCCCACCTAAAGCCCCTTTTATATGCCCACAAGCATTTGGACCACACCCGCACATTATCGGATCATTACATCTGCTAGGCCGATACACCTATCCCAACTGGTATTGGGCCGAGCCCATACGTGACCGTATAATTGCATCTGCTCGGCCCGCAAGCATTGCATCCGGCTAACAAATCGAGCCGGTTTCTGCCGGTCTACCTAAATGCTCTCCTGTGCTATATCATCTAGTCCCCCCATTATCAAACGAGCTATGCCGTTTTTATCGTAGATAGACTTGTTTGATAATTATTCCAAAAATAGAGATCCCCTCCTTATGGTATCCCGAATGCAAATCGAGCAGGTTCTTTTAAACCTCCTGACCGAGCAGTTTGTTGGTTACGTTAGACCAGACAGATTAAATAACCCTCAACCCGATCACATGATATAGCCTGATAACCAAGCCCGCTGGACCGCCACATAGTCCGAGCAGGTGAGCTAAATGAGTAGCCGAGCAACTTGTTTGTTATTGCGGACCGAGCAAATGAATAAATTGCTATCTGAGCATATTATTAAACTTTGTTGTCCGAACAACTCCACCTATTCCCCATCCGAGCAAATGATTTAGCTTGTTGACCGGGTCATGTGAAAAATGCCTTGAAAATCACGCAGGTCACTTTATAGTCATTATTACACTTTATCATTTGTCAGGTCATTGCAGCCCTCTAAACCATGTAAGTGAAATGTCTCTTTGTTGTTTATTATTTTGTTCTTCACTTGGGCCACGTACCCATCATCCCTTGCAACCACTATATCCTACTTGGACCAAACTAATGAAATGCCTCTACACTGATTATATGTAGGTGTTGGCTTCTTCAAAAAAGTGTTACCCTTTCTTCTCCAAACTTAACCCCAACAAAAGAACACCAACTATCATTTCCCTTGAGAATTCCGACCGAGCGGCTCCGGACCGAGCAGATAAATAAATTCCTACCCGAGCAGCCGAGCAAATTAATAATCACCGAGCATATAAATAATGCCAAATCCGAGCGAGCAGCCGAGCGAATTAATAATCACCGAGCAGATAAATAATGCCAAATCCGAGCAGATTAAAAAAGAATGCCTACTGGAGCAGCTCATCATATTTTGGAGAAAAAGCACCTTGAAAACCGCGCACCCTAACTCATTATGACTATTGACTAGGCCTCTACACTATTTCTGTGCAATTTCAACGGCCCCTTTTACACTTGAAACACATGATTAGCCTTCCTATCCCATTTGGACATAATTTGAGAAAATTGTGCTACAGGTTATATACAATGATTGTCCCCCACAAAACGTGTTACCTGCTAGGGTGGCCGAGCAAATTAGCCACTATATTTGACTGAACAAAAAATCAAAGTCACCACGCCATCCGAGCAGATGAATCCAATTTGCAGTACCTACTATGGTGGCCGAGCAAATTAGCCAAGACACTCGCGTTGTCGTAGCAACCGAGCAGATGATCCGAGTTCCTAGCCGGTCAACGCACTTAATCCCTATCCGAGCAGATGACGGTACCTATAAAAAACCGAGCACCTTCCTCATATTAACCGGCGGTCTCTCACCTGCTCGGTCTATGAGGAACCGAGCCATCATTATGCCTATTACACAGCTCGGTTCATACGCGAGGCATAAGGATTGTTCATCTGCTCGGTCCATAAGAAATCGAGCGAGCACCTTCCACGTTTCAACATGTGGATCTTTTACCTGCTCGATCCGTGAGAAACCGAGCAGACACTATGCCTATCATTCTGCTCGGTTTATAAGTAAAGCCGAGCACCTTCCGCATGTCCCTATATGGATCCTTCCCATGCTCGGTCCATGGAAAACCGAGCCAGTACTATGCGTGACTCGTCATGTACTCGGTTGTAGCTACAATAAACCGAACAAACATGCAAATGTCGCCACACGCGAGGCATCCTCGACACTCCATCTTATCGTATACTCACATAAAACCGAGCAAACGACCCGGTATCCATGTGCTCGGTTTATGCCCGCCTAACTGCCCAAGCTAGGCTAACCGACTTCGAAGTAATGCACCGCAAAATAACCTGCTCGGTACATAGAACCGAGCCATGGAATCCCAAGTCGCAAAGTCGGGTCTCCAAATAAGACCGAGCAAATGCCGGAGCATGGTCTTACCTTACGTCGAGACCGTGGCCATATTTGAACCGCACCCGGGCATACGAGCATGGCCTTAAGCTGCTATCGCTTTCAAACAGCACCAGAACTCACAAGAGCTCGGCCTTAAGCCGTCACACCTTTTGAACAGCACCCGAACTCCCAAGAGTCCGGCCTTAAGCCGTCACACACTTTTAACAGCACCCGAACTCCCAAGAGCTCGGCCTTAAGCCGTCACACACTTTGAACAGCACCTGAACTCCCAAGAGCTCAGCCTTAAGCCGTCACACACTTTGAACAGCACCCGAACTCATAAGAGCTCGGCCTTATGCCGTCACACGCTTTGAACAGCACCCGAACTCCCAAGAGCTCGGCCTTAAGCCGTCACACACTTTTTGTTCTGTATTACGGGTCATTCACACTTAGATCATTCATCAAACCAAGACATAAGTGTTTCAAAATAACTTCTAGTTATCCTTAATGCAACAACCAAATTCAATAACCAAAGCATAAATGTTTCAAACAATTCAGAGTTACA